ATTTTTTTGAAATAATAAATAAAATAGTAATATAATAAAAAATAGATACAAATGATATTAGTCAAGATAAAGTAATATAGGAAATTTATTTTAACACATTTATTACACTTTACAACAAATTGTATAATAAAAATAAAAATCATTCCATGAAAAAGACATTTACTTACATAAATCTGTAGTTTTCATCCAATAATTAGATTACATTAAGACAGTTCAAACAACATTAAAAAAAGAAAAAAAAAAAGGAAAAAAATAGAAGAAAGGAAAAAAATGACTGTATTTCTTTTGTAAACGTCTTTTATAGCATGGATTTTCAAAGTTTTATAATTTGTAAGAAACACTCTTTTGTTAGAAAACACGAGAACGTCGACTACAAACGATGGTCTATTTTAAATGTTGGTTGCTTATTTTAAAAAGGAGAGAAAGGAAAAAAACAAAAGATAAAGTATGATGGCTTGTCTCTTTAATATGAAAGAACCTTTCATTTCGTGGTAAATCAAAGTTTTCTCCGAGTACAGATGGTGCATTTGGAATTTTTAAAAGGAAGAAGGTATGCGGTACACTCAGATCTTTGCTACTTATCCAGAAACATCTTCGAATAAAAACTCTTTTCGCGAATCTTTGTCGTTCATAACAAAGAAATCTCTTTCGCGCTATTCGAATACCAAGTTGGGGAAAAACTAAAACTCAAGAATGAGGATAGAACATTTTTTTTTAAATCAAATTTTGTTATTATAAAATAAATAAATATTTAAATATTAAAAAAAAAGGAAACATTCAATTGATGCGAAACTTAATACGTATATGAATACGAAGTATTAAATAAAATTTTGTAATGTTATTCATTTTGTTTAATTGTCAATAAGTAAAATAGTAAAACTTAAAAAAGGATTAAAGTACATTTTATCAATTATTGAATTTATTTTAAAATTGTGAGAATTAAAAAAAAAATCTTTCACTTAAAATTTTTAAAGTTTTTAATTCTTCTTCGATAAATAGAAATTTTTTTTAACAAAATATTTATTCCACGCTATTACACAAGTGCTAGTGTTATTAAAAAAAATTATAAAATTGTGATGATCTTTTTAATATAATGTGAAATTAATCAAGAGTCATTAAAAAATTAATTAATTATTTTTTCTTTAATTATATTTTACATATAAATTCTTTTAGTGTAATTCTTTTGACAATTTTTGAAAAAATATTCTTGGAATTTCATTCCAATGTAGATCATAAATGATTAAGATCAACCAATCACATCATTGTCAATTAATCAACAGTCTAAGAATTAACAAATAGGTATACATGGGTTTGATTAAAAATGTGTACCACTTTTTAAAAAATACAAGAAGAAAACGTTTAATATATATATAATATATTGCGAACAGTGTATACAATGTCTCCGCTGAAATAAATGTAAAATAGAATAACGGTATAGATTTATGTTCATATTGTTCATATAACGGGGAAAGAATTATGTAACAAGTTGGACGCAATTTAATTTGCATTAAAGAACAAACTTACATTCAGATTATACTCTACAAACGATATTATAATCCTCATCGGTTTACGTATAATATATATAAAAAAAAAAGAAAGATATTAGTCTATTAGTGGAGCAAAACACAATCGATCTATATATTTTATTAAATTCTACTTTTGAGATCAATGAGATGATTAATCGTGTACAAACAAGACGAATCACTGTTCATTTAATTATTAAACGAAATCTCTAAATCCTCAATTGGATAAACCGATGATGTTACAACAATTATATATTGTAATTAATTCTATGCTTGAATACCAGTGATGATTTACAGTTTACAAAACTTAAATGCTAAAAATAATATCATTTAATTATAATATATCGGTTTCCTTTATAATAAAGAAATACTAATCGTAATTATTCAATATATATATATATATATATATATACCAAAATCCATATGTAACATTTAACTTATCCACAAAACGTATCGTTTCCTTAATTTTGTTAATCATAAGCTTACGCTAAATGATGATCAAAGGACTCTGAGAGGGAAAAATGTGTTAAAATATAGACCACAAGAGTGAAACTTGATGAATCACATTTTCCAATTTTTACATAATAAGATATTTAAAGTTGGACTTGTCAAATTATTACATTAAACGGATATGATTTAAATCAGAGATGAATCGAAACATTGAGATTTTGAGATTCGTAAGATTTTATGGGATCTCAAAATTCTCGAAACCTAGGATATTTATTATTATTATTATTATTATTATTATTATTATTATTATTATTATTATTATTATTTTTAAAAAGTATTTACAACAGTTTCGAAAATTATTTTTATTTCGTTTCACTGGATCGTGGAAACGTGGAGAGAGAAAAATATTTCCTACTGAGATAGAAAAGTATTCTTGTCTCTTTTATGATATCTTAAGTTTTTATATACGCCTTCAGAGTTTCCATAGAGATTCCGCGACAGTTAATCGGGCACTTTTATTTTATTATTATATTTTGCTACATATTTAAATTTTAACAAATATTTAGAATTTTTCAAAATCGTTATCAGCTTAAATGTAAGTTTTATACAATTATTACCTGGATTTCGAGAATTTCGAATTACAAAAATAGCAAAATATTTCAAAGATTCGAGAAATACGAATCTTTTTGAATTTCGAAGAGTTTCGAGTGATCCATCCCTAATTCATATCATTATACCTTGAAATTTTCATTTCTTTTCTTTTTTTTGCATTTTTATCATTAAAGCGCCCTTTTTAATTATTAAATCACATAAAAAAATAGAAAATGGACAAATGGTTATATTATCAAGTTTTCCTCCTGTTGTCTTCAAATATCTCATACAAAAGCTGATGAAATATAAAACAAGGCCGCAAAGAAATTTATGATCATGATGTATCAGTGTCTTGTGTGCTTGTTGTGTATTCGAATTAACAAAAACACGTATCAAAAATATGAAAAACTATACACGTTGGCATTTTCGCATATTATTGACAAACATTGTCATAAATTTCTATACTTACACTTAGAGCCCTTCGATCTTGGCCCTGTATTCCTAGAAAGCATTCGCTTAACAACTATTGTGCAATATGGCGTTGTGGCCATCTGTTATTAAATTGTGCACAAACTAAGAGATATAAGTGGATATATAATATGTAAAATTCAGCACAAATTTTTTTTCCCATAGTGAATAATAAACGAAAATTATAGAAGATACGATGTATGAGACATTTCACGTGAAATTATACATAAACAATTTCTTTCGAACTCGGTGTAATTTGTATAAAGTTTTATTAATCTAAATAGAGCCCTTAATATTTAAAAATATAGCCTCTCGTTATACATTTTAATTACTGCATTAAATTCTCATATTTTAGTGAATAATTATGATAAATATCGAAATCGAACACAATCTCTCAATTATTTTTGATAAAAATTACATATATCACGATTTCGATTCTATTCATGAAAATATTATAATTTTTATGCATTTTTTAATAGGATGAATAAGTTAAAGATGTAATAGATTTTTACGTGCTTATCAAAATTAAGAATATATTTCAGTGATGAAATTTTGAATTACATGAGAATTCTTTTATTTGGAAATTCTTTTCTAAAAATCGATGAGGTATATTTTTCAAAGTTATCTTTATTAGGTCCACTGTTTTATAACATTTTCTATACCGTGAAGAAAATAGAAAGATTTTTAAAAGGGGATATATAATATAAAATAAAAAAGAAAAAAAAATAAAAAAAACTAAATATATTCAAAAGTAAAAAAGGCATAAGTATTTCATAGATTTAAAAAAAAATTAATGAAAAGTAATTGTTCAGGAATATTTAAGAGATATTTAAGAGATATTCCTGAAATTGGGAAAAAAAATTGTTAGAAATAATAAATAAATTGTTAGAAAGACAGATTTTGTTTACACTGATTGTATTATTACGTTTTTTATTTTTTTTATTTTTAACGAATGATATTTAACAATCATTCTTTTTCTTTAGTTATAGTCTTATTTTCAAATAAAATTATAATTAGAAATTGTAATATTAAAAATAATTTTTTTATTTTTTATTATTTATTATGATTATTAGTATAGTTATAATAGAGAATATCTATTATATTATAAATTTTATATATAATGAAAAATAGCAATTTTTGAGCAGAATTAAAAATTGGCAGCACTAATAATAATTGTAAAACTATTAGCTACCAAAAATTAATAATTAAGTTAATATTATATTACTTAATATTAGATTAGTATTAATGTTAACAATATTTTATCTTAGATTATTACTATATTAATATTAATGAGTTTATAATTGAACATTTAAAAAAAAAATTATATATTATAATAGACAGAAAAAAGTATGATATTTAAAACATTTAAACGTATACAATTTTTGAGAAAGAAAATGTGACACATAATTAAGGGAAAAAATTTTAAGGATACGAATATTACGTTACTAATTCAAAAATATGAATTTTGAATATAATTGAAATTCTTATTGTTATAACACTTAATACAAAACAATTCAGACACTGATCGATTTTCAATAATTGCTGTAAAAAAAAAAAAAAGAAGAAATGAACAAGGCAATTCCTTGTTTAAAAGGAATACATAAAGATCGTCATATCTTTTCGAAATAAATCAAGTGTAATATCAACCAGAATACCAAAAAGCTCTGTTATGGATTATTAAATTTATATTTAAAACCGTGAACTGCAATGCGTAAGAAGCTCGCAAGATATCAGTCTATTCGCATCGATATTTAATAATTTTATTAATAACTCCTTATCTTGAGCTAAAATATTTAAACATTGAACGAGCTATTATTAAATATCACGAGTTCGAAATTTATCAATCATACGTAATCATATCATATCGAGCGTGAAATGTCTCGTATTACGGATGGGTTAATTATTCATTTAAAAAAAAAAAAAAAAAAAAAAANAAAAAAAAAAAAAAAAAAAAAAAAAAGAGTAAAAAGAAATATAAAGTCGAGAGAAAGTATATATTATTCGTCACGTAATCGTCGATCAAACTTTGTATAATGCAATTTACTCAGTATCAGTATTAGAACTTTATTGTGCTTCTCCGTTTAAAACGAGTACATCCACTTCCGCCCTATATCAGACTTACGATAAAAACGTTCAAAACTCGCTGACGTTGGAGAACTTCGAGTAGACTCGATTTCACGGTTGCTTCGGCAATTAACAAACTTGTTCTATGGACCGACTCACACACGGATAGATTTTTTCTTTNTTTTTTTTTTTTTTTTTTTTTTTTTTTCATTTTCCACATCGAGATAGTAACATAGAAAACATTGCTCGTGACCCGTGTGATTAATCATCAAGATCGGTTATAAACGAATCAGAATTTTTCGTTCAATCGGGCAATATTTTTCCGTTAGATCATTTTAAAAGTTTCTTCTCGTTTCTTCATTGTACAAATCTTTTGTAATACTTACACGCTAATATTACATCGTTTATAAAATTTTATACATTTTATACACAGAATATTCTAATATCAGAATTCTATCTATCTAATTTTTTTTTTTTTTTTTTTAATACCGAGATTTTCTCTGATTCCGTTTAAAAATAAAATCATTTATAGAGACTCGTATCGAATCATTTGATTATTCTATTTAATATACAGAGTGACTCGCCGTTATTCACTGGGCAAAGAGTGACTCCTCGTGAAAATGTAAACCAAAGAAAAAGTATAAATTTTTTTTGAATTTCAATTTTAATATAAATACTTCATAAAAATAACCTGTTAATAGTTCATTCTTATTGAAAATTTCTTATCGAATAAAATTGATTGCATCGTATATACAATATGATATAGAATAACGATAAATATATTCCGTATAATTACTAAAACTGTAATAATAATCTGTAATCTAATCGACTTGTTAATTCTCTAATTTAATATCGTTTCTTGCTAAACTGCACCGAAAAAAGAAACCATTGTCGAGTTATTGGAAATAACTTACATAATAAAAATAAACGTTCAAATATCAATGAAAAAGTATTTCTCACGAATCATGTCAAAAGAAAAAAAGGAAAAGCTCGCATAGAAACAAACGAGAAGAAATTGAAAGACGATCTCACGACGAGTGTCGAAATTGTGTCGAGCCAGATGAGAAAGAAAGAAGAAGCAACCGTGTTTTATAGTTTCTCGCGAAAAGTAATCCAACAGGAGCGATCTCGTCTACCGACACAGACGATTGAAACGATTGAAAAATAGTCTCTTAGAAGTAAAAGGAGTGTATTCTAGCGAATCTCGAAAAAAGGGGATAACTACGATAATCTGTTCGAAACGTGGTTCGAAGTGAGGAGGAGAGGGTTGTGGGGCGCCGGTATTACCCTAAAAAAAGGGGGAGGGAGGGGGGAGGGGAAGGGGGGAGATCTTTACAACCTTGGGGAGGGCAACAATCAGTGCAGTTTTATGTACAATAATAATCCACCGTGGGTGAATTTGTTCATCGCGGTAGCCACGCTTTGTACAATCTCTGGAAATGGTTATTTCTTTACAAACCCGTGCGCCCACAACCCGCTGATTTTTCAGTATCCCGCACCGGTCTGTCCTTTGTGCTCTCGACCTCTCCTTCTATGGAGCTGCGCGCCACGCTCGGGGATTTTACATTTCTCGATTCGACGAAAGTTCATTCTCGAAACGAAAGAACAAGCTGACCTTCGTTACGCGAAACAATCGTCTATCCTGGGATTGTTTGTCCTGTTAAACATGGTCGCCCCATATTGTCACAGTTTTTGCACGGTCCACAGATGCGAAATAGGTGCCGTGCGGATGCCAAGAAACTGCTGTCACCACAGCTCTGAAAGGTGTAACAGATCAATTAGATTACTCTGTTTCTTGTAGCTTTGTTTTCATTGTTTTCGTTGTGTGTATTTCGTTGTGGCTCGATTTGCATTTTGCGAAGAATAAATTTTGAAAAAAAAAAAAAAAGAAAAATGGAAACTGTATTTCGAAATTCATGTAAAAATGAATGAATTTTTAATAAATTCGAATTCAATTTCGTAGCTAATGGGAAGAGGAATAACGTTTAGAATGTTAATTATAGTCTATATACGTTAACACATATACTCCATACACTATAACTCTATACTACATTATTCTGTTACCTAGAGCCACAGTAATTAATTTTTGGTACAAGCTGATTTATCGTAATTATTTTCGTTATTAATAGTTTCCTTTTTTTTTTTTTTTTTTTTTGTAAGTAAATTTTATCTTTAACGTTTTCAAAAATACAATCATAGAATTACAATATAAAAAAGTCAAGTTAAAATAATTACAATTATTAATTCCCCTTACACAATTTATTTCTTCATAACAAAACAATTGATAAAATAATATTTAAGTGATATTTAGCTTAACGATAAATTGAATTATATATATTTTCGTACTTTAAACAAGTCGAATCAAATCGCATCACAAGGATATCGAAACAATGGAGCAGAGTCAATGCAGCGTCGCATTATGCTACGTAATAATATCGTAACAGCTCTCGTTAAATCCTACTGAAAGTTTCGACACGGCAAAGAGAAGAAAAAGAAAAAAAAAAAAAACAACAAAGAAAAGCAAGATCGACAATGCGAGAGCAAAAGGGAATCTCAAGCTCTGATTACTACTACGCTCTGAAAGGCGTTAAAAGATCCCTCCCCAGTTATTGAAATTCGAGATCAATTATGGAGAGAACGTATTTTCGAATCGTAATGGGTCGTACGAATTAATCGACCACCGACTAACTGTTGCAAAAGATCACGGAGCTTTCCCATGTGAGCAAACCCACCACCGAGCATCTCGCCATTTTGTCCGTGAACCCGCGAGAAAGCATGTCGGACACAGTTGATTCGAGTTGGCCGGTCATACCGTGGCCGTTTTCCTCTGTTTTCTCGTTCCTATTGTTTTTTGCGCGGTAAATACGTGGCGGGGGATTGTCGTGGAAACTCCGTTTCGATCCGACAACTGTGAATCGACATAATGCGATGAAGGACACGGTCTTAATTAGGATGACTGAATATCATTGTTCCTGTACCGCTCTGCCTTGTGGCGAATGGAAAAATGGAAGGGGAATGGGGAGGGAGATTTTCACAAGATCCAATATAGGTTTTTATTTGTACACGCAAAGACGAACTGGTTTAGGGATGGTAATAATTATCGGGTGGATTAAACGAATAACGTGTAATAGAATAATAAGGGAGATTAAAGGGAGATTACTTTTAATTGTTTGAACTAGATACGAATAATTGGAATTAGAATTAAATTATAATTATTATTCTCTATATTGTTTTTTTTTATTTTACGTTGGTAGTAATCAGAGATATGGATATATAGGATGTCTATAATAATAATTGTTCAAACAGAAATTGAATACTCGTTTAATTTCTTTTATGTATTCGAGTGTATATGCAAATTTAATTCTAGAGTAAATTCGTATTCAGATTTAATATTTGTGTAAAAATTGGAATATGTATATTCAAGATAACTTTACATTTAAACTTTTAAATGTAATTATCTCAGAACTTGTTACTATATTATTTTAATGTAGATTTTTTTTAATGTTATGTATTTTTCAATCCTTGTTCCATTTTTAATACTTTATTATGGGTGATAAAATCAATGTTAACATTGTTCTTAATATTAACATTGAAATATAAATTTTTTTAGATTATATATACATTTATTGGAGGAAAATAAAATAGGATTAACCTATTTAAAAATCTGCTTAAAATTTTTTTTTTTTTTTTTAAATTTTCGCTAGTCTTATCTAAACCAAATAATTCTATATATATAATCTCACATCTCAGAATACAACGTGGATCATTTATCACGGCAAAAGAGTGTCTTTCTTATTACACACTTACAACTTTATATATCCACCGAAAAAAATCTCTATCATATCGTAAAGAAAAAAAAAAAAGATATATCATTCCATTTCTTGGAAAAAGAATAAATATAACTTTCAATATCTAGATAATATAAATCCTCTATAAAGATGTTATTAACTCTACACATACGATACGATATTCTTCTTCCCTATCTTTTAAGAAAACTTTTATTCTTAAAAATCAAAAGGTTTCGAAATTGTTAAAAGCGGCCACGTTTAACGCGCCACCCTGAACGTGGAAATCTGGGATGGCGCAAACCGCTAAAGATTTCATTTGAATGTGGAAATACACGGTGGCGCGTAATTTTCTGGCCGGAGCGGCTTCGCCCATGCAGCAAAAGGTCTATAAAACCTGAATTCCCAAGGGTGATTCACGGGGCTCCGTGGAATCGTAAAAGGGTGTTTCTATGCGAGGACAAACGTGGTGAAAATGACATACCTTTTGCGTCTCGAGTAAAACTTTGGCGGGGAACGCATAAAATGTGTTGTGTATTTTGGGATATACTGTAAAGATATACTGTAAAGATCAAGCGGAAATGACGTGTTAAAGAGAAATTTGATTCGTGAAAATATGATTAAAAAAAGTTTACATTCATTACATTTGGAAATTTATGGAATATTTGAGTTATATCTGAGATAGAGATATGTATGTATATTAAGTTAAAAAGTAGTTTGTTTGTATATGTTCGATTATATTACTTGGTAAATTTGACATATATATTTTTTTGATAATTTAAATTTTTTTTACAATATTGTGAAAAATATATATACGTACAGGTCGATTATTTTTTTGATCTCGATGTTAGGAGGAAATTTCTGCTCTTTATGATGTAGAATGTAGACTGGAATAAGTGAGGTTTCAATTATTATTTGTTCAAATACAGAAATTTTGAGTTCTTTCGTTTTTTTGTTATAAAAACTAGTTTACTTACAAATTTTTATTAAAGAATGAAATTTGCTGAGTCGAATTTTTTTTTTTTAATATAATATGATTATGAAAGGGAATTTTAAAAAGCAAATCAGAGATGAATAAGATGTAACGATAATTTTTAATTTAAGGTCTCATTTTGAAGTAAAAAGAAATTTAAAAATTTATTAAATACACGTAAATTTGATTAATTCTTGAGTAGATATAAATGAATAATCGAAATGAATAACGAAAATGTTCCACGTGTAAGAATAAATATTAAATGTGAAATAGAATATATTCATTTTATTACTCAAATCCTCAAAAAATCAAACTCGACAAAAATTTAAAAATTAAACACATTAAATCCTCTCGAAAACAAGCCTTGACCTAAACAAAATTTCATCCTACATTTTCGATTTATTCTTTTATAAATAAAATTACTCTCTTCTTAATTGCATCACGAATACAGGAATGCCTTGTATTTTGATTTAAAAAATTTAAGATGACTTTTCATTTTGTAGGAACATAAATTACTTTTGAAATATTTATGATTTCCTCTCGCTGTGTTTAATTCGTTAACGAATTAAATAAAATTGTGCAATGAGCATTTATTTTAATATCTTAATTATATTAAAATAAGAGAATTCTTTATAATTTTCTTTGTAAATATTCTCGCGTATATATCTTTTTTTTTTTTATCCTGAACTTATGATTAAGCTGTTAAAAAGTCACAAAGCTCTAGTCAAAGTAAAAATTTCGAGTTCAGTTGCTGACAACATTCTGCATACTAAACCAGGTCACTTGCAATATGATGGATTGATGTTGCAACGTAGAAAAACTGACCAACAGAAAAACATTTCGGTACGCTATTTTTTGACGACATCCACACCATTCCTTTTTGCATACACTTTTATATATTTTATTTATGCATAAATAACACGCTGCTTGAAAAAAGAGTAAAGAATATTTATCAATTTCAAATATATTTTTCATTAAATAATATTGAATATTATGAATTATTAAAATGTATTCAATAAGGAAATTATAAATAAATTGTTATAAATAGAATTTTTAATAGAAATTGTATAGAAACAAAAATTAAGAATATTTTTCTTCTCTTCGTTTCAAATCTCATTTTAAATAAATCAATATTAATTTGTAATACATATGGTTTTTATGTACGTTGTCAGTCGATTTAATATCGTTGTCATCTATTTGTATTGCTATTTTCAATATTCGTATCGTAAATAATAAAAGGAAAAGAATAAAATTAATACGAAAATTATTGGAAATAAATTTCTTTACTCAGAATTTTATTTATAACGTTTGTACGATCACTTTTAAAAGAATATTATATTATATTGAAAAACGTGAATAATTTTTTGCTTGGGTTATAAAATTTCGGTATTGTACTAAAGAATAAATAAACATTATTTAATTAATAAAGCTGAAAAATTAAATGCTTTTCAATTTTAATATCTTTCAACGATCACGAATTAATTTATTGTACAAGAAAATATGTCACGTCGATAACCAATTTAACTTTTTTAAGAAAACTTGTTGAATTTACTATAGAAGATGTTGAAGTTTGAAGGTATTTAATTCAACACGATGAAAGGTTATCACATTTTAGAAAACATGTTGAGGAGTTTTTAAGTAACCGATATCTCTGTTGGATCACAGGCTTAAGCTTGGCACCAGACTTTTATATTTACAGAGCCAAGTTAAATTTCTTGTGTAAGAAAAACCTGTTTAAAATTAGATAGATCTTAAGATATTTAATTAATTTATTATTTTTTAAAAATCACTTCATTTTTTCGAGTAGCCATTCCGTTTTATGTCAATAATTTTAATAATAATTTAAGATATAATAAAAATTTAGATAGAAGAATCATTTTTAAAATATACAATATACTGATTAAAATTTTAGATTTATAATTTCTTAAGTAATAAAATAAAAAATGTAGTTAAAAGGACAAGTCTAATCAAAATTAATATTAAATTTAATATAACTTGT